CCCGGCCCCGCCTGCATCCTCGCCGAGCGATGCTCTCCCCGACACGCCAGGACCCGGCGGCGGTGGAGAACCCCAGCACCGCCGACGTCCCGGCCAAGGTCCTGCCCCAAACGGGCGGCGAGTCGACCGCCGCGCGTCCGCGCAGCGTTTCGTACATCGCGCATCTCCTTTCACCGCCCCCCTCAACCAGCCTCTCTGGCGGGGAGGTCCAGGTCCCGACGTCTGTATCTATGCCGGGCTCCTCGTCCCCCACCCCTCCGGGGCCGGGGTCCGACCTGGAGGACTTCCTCCCAGCCGGCGGGACGGCTTTCCTGACTCTGGCACCAGGTGCGGCGCCGCATGCGCCCACAGGCTCGGGCATCAATCCGGCTGATGAAGCGTCGGCCGTCTTCGCGCTGGACCCGTCCAAACGCGAGGCCATTCTTAAGTCCAACTTTGCTGCTAGCGCTGTTCCGGAGATCCGCGGTACGCACACGCACCCACGCCCGTGCCCGCCCACACGCACACATAGATATATATATATATACATGTTTCCACGGCCTTTGCCGCTCGCCCATTACATCTCTTGCTGATTGGCTACATTGTCACGATCACCTCCGTTGTCTTCGTCGCCGCCGCCGCCGCCGCCGCCGCCACCACCAACACCACCTTTCTCGGTCTCTGTCCCGTCCTCCGTCGGTCTGGCCATCCTGTGTTTCCAGCGGCTGCCGCCAGCTCTTTCACCATCCGGCAGGGTGCCTCGACGAACTCCTCCTCCGCGCAGTCGGTAACCTCCTCACGGGCACACTCTCCTGCCCCGGCCGGGGAAAGCCGAGTCGATCAAACGCCCCCGCCACGCGTGGCCACCGGTCAGCGGCACCCGCTTGCCGGTGTGGCCACCGCCCTCGGGGTCGACGAAGAGGAGGACATCCTGGAGGCGGATGATGAATTCCACCCGTCGGAATCGCCGCATGCCCTCCACAGTAACCTGGAGGATGAGTCAGCCGTCTTGAGCCCGCTGACCCCGGTGGCACCTGAGGCCGCCATGGTGCCAGGCGGCCCGGGAGACTTGAATGACCCGCAGATGCAGTTCCACTCCTACGCCATCCGCATGGGGCTCTACATGCTGGTGCCACAATATGCCGGACCCGGGGAGGCTGCCACTTCCCCCGGGAAGCGTGCTGCCATTCCGGCCGCCGGCACCGATCGAACGGGGCTCCCGACCGGCGGAACAGCCACCGCGACTGCCACGGCCGCGGCCACTCCCTGTCCCACGCACCGGGATTTGGGCCTGGCCCGGTGTCCCGGGGGGGTCCGTTGCCCGCAGGATTACACCTCAACTCGGCCTCTAATGTCACCCGTGCCGGCGACTCCATCTCCCTTGCTGACGAGCGCCGCCTCGGCCACCGGCCAGGGGCCAGGCTCTTTCTTGTCGGGCAACCGGCACCTGATGGCCGGGGGCACGGCCGGGAACTCGCCAGCCGCCGGCACCACCCCCTATCAAATTGGCATGGAGGGACTCGGGTCGCCGGCTGGATTTGCCGCGGCCCATGTTCCCGATCGCCTGGGCTTCCAGCTCCTACGCAAGGCCGAGGAGGTGCTGGTCCAACGCCGGCGGGTGGAACGCTATGAACAACGCTTGGCCCAGGCGCGCTTGCAGATGGACGCCCTGTCGGCGGAGTTGGCCGAGATCCGCAGCGAATTGATTGCCCAGGTAGGTGTCGCATCCATGGCGCGAGTGCCGCCCTTCCAGCCCCACTCTGATCCCTGCCTCTTTCTCACGCGCACACTTTCTTTTTCCTGCCCCTGGCCCACCTTCAAAATGGGCCCGGTGTTTCCGACCTTTTGCCCACCTTTCGGGTTGCCCCTCTGCCTTCCCCCCCCCCCCCCGATGGTGGCAGCACAATCTCGCGAAGAGCTCGACCGTGCACCAGCATCTGACACCGCCGGAGGGCCATAACAAGTCGGACGCCCGGTCGGCCCTCACATGGGCCGACTTTGCCGTGTCGACCGCGCATCAGAGCCACTCGCCGGCCGATCTGCGCGACTTGACCCGCATGATTCGCACCTCCGGCATCCCGGTGGCCCTGCGTCGATTGGTGTGGCTCACTTGCCTGGACCAGCTGGTTCCCGGGGACCCGGGGACCTTTCTCCCGGGGGGGAGCTTCCGTGACGGGGGGCTTCGGCTGTATATGCGCTATTGCCGGCTAACCGAGCAGGCGGCGGCCCACATCTACGAGCCGGCACAAACCAGCGAGTGGGATGACATGATCCGCGGCATCAGCCGTCAGGGCGGCGGCTCCGGTGGCCGGTCATCCAGTGGCCTGCGCAGCCGTCTGCAAAAGAGCACCCTAAAGGCCGTCGGTGCCGGGAGCCCTGGCGATGTGGGTCCCATGGATGCCATGCCTGCCGGATCGTACAGCCTGCTGGCCGGTGAGCCGGATGCCCTGAAAAATGACTTCTGCAATGTCCGCCTGGATCCGGTGGTGGTGGCAGCCATCGAGCAAGACCTGCACCGGACCCTGCCGGAGTATGCCTCATTCTCGCTGATGTATGCTCCGGGGATTGTCAGTCTGCGACGCATTCTCCGGGCATACTCCCTTCGCAACCCGGCGGTCGGGTACATCCAGTGCTTCTCGGTCATTTCGGCCACCCTGCTGCTGCAGCTGTCCGAGCATGAGACCTTCTGGATGCTGTGCCACATCATTGAAAACATCTTCCCGCCGAACTACTTCACAAAGAACCAGGTGGGCATTTTCGTGGACCAGCTGGTACGTAGCTCCGCGCAAGATCACAGGGCTAGATATTGCCCCTCTTCTTTCTCTCTCTCCCTCTCTCTCTCTGCTTCTCTCATCCTCTCTCTCATCCTCTCTCTCGTCATCTCTCTCATCCTCTCTCTCCGCCTCTCCCACACACACTCACACACTCACACGCACGCACACACTCACACACTCACACACTCACACACTCACACACTCACACACTCACACACTCACACACTCACACGCACGCACACACACAAACACACACAAACACACACACGCACCACGCCGACCATGCGGCACGACAATACGACAATCCAGGTGCTCGGTGATCTCATCAAGATTCACCTCCCGGAATTGGCCCAGGCCCTGGAGCAAACGCAGACCGACATCAGCGTCATCTTTTCCGGGCCTTTTGCCTCGCTCTTCGTCAACTCCCTGCCCATGGAGTGTGTCCTGCGCATCTGGGACTTGCTCTTTGTTGATGGCAGCGTGGCTCTCTTTGCCGCGGCCTTGGCCATCCTGCGCAACATGCAGAAGGACCTCCTGCATGCGATGAACCGAATGGCGTCCGGGCCGTTGTCTGCCTTCAGCCTGCCGAATGGCTTGTGCTTCGAGATCCAGCAGCTCATGCGCAATGCCGTGTACAGCTCCACCGAAACCCGGCGCATCATCAAGTACCTCGGGCGCATGATCCTCGACGTCAACCCGGAGACCGTGTCCTCCCTTCGGGCAAAGTACCAGCACCACGACCCGGCGCACTCCTAGGGGAGTGAGCACGCCCAAAGGACCACATGGGAGACCGTGCCCACGTGTGGGGAGGGCCCTCGGAGAGGGAAACAATCTGCGGATTTCTGCCTCGCCTCGCTCTTTCTGTCCGCCTCCGCACGGGGTCTTTCCGCCGCCAGGCTGCTCCCAGCAGCCGGTCCGGCTGGGTGACCGATCCTGCTGTATGTGTAGTCAATAAAAAGCAATCCACATATTAAAAAAAAAAGCAGGCAGGGTGCTTTGTTGTGGGGCATGGATTGGTGAACGAGGGTGATGATGGGGGCCACCCCGCAGGCGCGCACACCAACAACGGGCTAAGGCGACTTGCTCCCTCCCAGGCCCAGCACCCCCTCTGAGGTGTGGGCGGGGGGGGGGGGAACAGGCGCCAGTGGGTTTGGAATCGTAGAACCGGGCCGGGGTGATAGCCGCGATGCTTGTGGAGCGCCCCGCTACCGTTGGTACCTTCTCGTGCTTCCAGAAGGAACAACATCCGCCGTACCCGTGGGGCACTTTCCCCCGGCCCCCGGAGGGAAGCCGGCTGCTGCGGGAGGATCTTCCGGCAACCGAACACACGGCGACGTCTCCGACGGTTAGGAGCGGCGAAGGCCGTGTATTACCGGTCTGCGATGGCGGGCTCGGGAACAACGGCAACAGGGGTCACTACGCACGGGTCGGCTGGGGGTAACGACAATTTGAAATCCCCAATGCGTGGGCCTTTGCAGGCAGGTGCGTGGGCCCCCAGGGCCTTGGAGATCCCCCTCCCCCCGTGGGCGAGGAGCGTTTGGGCCTCGGGAAGCCTCCAGTCCCCCCTGACTCACATCTCTCTCTCTCTCTCCCTCCCATTCGCCCTTCTACTTCCTTCCCAAGCACATTGTCAACACAAATAGAGTGTCCAACTTTCAAATGAGAAGAATGCCTCCTTCCGGACGCCTGCTCGCTCAAGGTCGAAGCCGCGACCGGTGAACATGCCCCCTCTTCCTCGGCCGCGCTTTGCCTCTCACGCAGCCATGTCGCTCTGAGCAGAAAAAAAAACAGACAAAAGAGCCCCCTCGGGAGCAGCATCCGCACCCATCAAGCCGCATCTCTCTTTCCTTCGTCTCATGCCCGCAACGTGCCACCTGGCTACCCCGGCCCTCCTCTCTTCCTCGCCCCCCTCCCCCCCCCCTCCTCCTGCTCCTCCCTCCCCGCCGCCCGCTTCCGGAGTGCGTCTCGGTCCCTGCCAGATCGCCCGATCCGCCCACGCTACGGGGCCCTCCTGTCCTGCACTTCAGCATGACCTCCGGTGATCGGAGTGCCTTGGCCTCGCGCGACGCGGCGGCCGAGCGAGGGGTCGGTGCGCCGATGGATCTCGACTCCAGCTCGCGTGTGGAGACCGGCACCATGAGGTTTGTCACCTCTCGCTCTTTTTTCGCGTGCTTTTCCGTCGGGGGCACTTTGTTCCCTTTCATTGGTCTCTCCTTCGAGAGACATACTGACCCCCCTCCCCCTCCTCCTCCCCTGGCAACCCAGCTCCACGTTCGGCTCAACCTCGATGGCTTCCTCCTCATGGGCCTTTCGTCCGTTAGCCCGGCCGCCGGGTGGATCATTTGCCGCGCGCTCGTCCCTCGGCGATCACCTGGATTCACCGAGCAAAGCCCCCTCAGATGGGCGTTTGACCCTGTCGGCGGCCGACCGCTCGGCTTTGGCCAACGAAACGAGTGCCTTCCCTTTCAAGCCGGCCTCCAGCGGCACCAGCCACCTGCGCTCATCCCTGAGCGAGGCAGACCTCCTGGATGATGGACCCACCTCGAGCACATCGGCCGATCGTCGGACCTCCTTCGGCCTGGGTGCCTCTGCATCGACCTCCGGCCTGGGGATTTCGATTCCGGGCGGCCGGTTTGGTGCCACTGACCGGGCAGCCGACCGCTCGGGCCCCTCGACGCCGCTGTTTGGTGGCGCCCCAGCCAGCTCCGCTGCTGCTGCTGCCGCGACTGCTGCCTCTGCTTCCCAGACCTCGGCGGCACCGGGCACCCCTCAGCGGGAATTCCTGCCCACCGTTGATGATGTTGGTGGCCTTGTTCTCAAGGAGCCTGAGTACACCTTCTCTCCAGGGTCCAACAACAGCCCCGTCTTCCAGCGAAACGCGCCGTCCATTCATTCGCGGCTCAATGGCCGGCGTCAACTCCGCACCGCGCAGCAGGTGAGCACATCCACCGCTGGCCTTATGCCGGCTTTTACTTGCCCTCCCCTTTCCTCCTTCCCGCCCCCCCCCCCCCCCCCTCCACCCTTCCTCTAGCCCTTTTCATATATGCCGCTGAATTCCCCCTTTACTGACACGGGAAGTGGGGGCAGGCCTTGATGAATCCCCGCCGGCCGGCCCCGGCATCGGAGGCTGGCTTCGCCTCGCCGGCCGGCCACCACGGTGGTGCCTACCCTGCTGCTCCTCAGTCCCCGTACTACCACGGGATGGAGCATCACCACTTGGCATATGGTGCTTCGCCGGCTGGCGGCCATGCCCTTTATTCGCCGGTCACGCCGGGGCTCATGTACTCGCCGTACGGCGGGGCTCCGACCGTGGCTCCGGTCTTTTCCGGTGCCATGCTTTATGGATCGCCGATGGCGGCCCATGGGCCAGCCACGGCCACGCCTCTCGGCCAGGAGAAAAAGCCGGCCTTGGCTGAGACCTCGAGCGCCGAGACAGCTGCTGCTGGTGAAACACCGCCCGGTGCCACCTCGGCCACCGCTGCCATGGCGGCCGAGGGCACCGCCGGCGGTGCCCTGATCCCCCAAAATGCCTCGGAATCTGGCGCCAAGACCGCCGATGGCAACGGCGGCGCAGGTGGGCGGCCGCCCGCCGGTCGTCGGGCCCGTCACCCAGGTCGCGGCAAGTCCTGGACCTCGTACATTCCCTCGCTCAATCAGGCTCTCGGGTGCGTGGCATGCCGGGCCTTCTCTCCTGTGATTTTTCCTCTTCTCCTTCTTCCTCCTTCCACCCGTCGCAATGCGTGCCAGCCATTGAAACCGGCAGCCCCAGTGACTGACACGAGGTGCCTGAATGTGCATGTTTGCCTTTGCCCTCCTTTGGGGTCGCGCGGCCATGGGAGAGCAGTTTTATTCAGCTTCTGTTCAATGTCAGCATCGTGGCTGGGATCCTGTATCTCCTTTACCGAGTTTACTTCCACATCAGCAGTGACATTGACATCCGGCTGCAACGCCTCCAGCAGGGTGCGTGCTGCCCTTGAACTTGTCCTCTTCCTCTCTTTCTATTTCCCCCTCATCCTCGCGCGCGCAAGCGAGCGAGAGAGGGAGCGAGGGCCCTCATTCGCTCCACTAACTCTGACCTTTGCCATTTTCACACGCGCAGACCAATCTGCCGTTGTCAATCAGTGCATCTCCGACTACAACTCCAACCGTTGCTCCGAGAAGGACATCCCGAAGGCTCTGGAGAAGTACTGCTCGGATCTGCTGGTTTGCATGCAGCGCAACCATGAGGATGTTGAGCAGACCACCATCATGGCCCAGGTGCTGGCCGGCGCGGTGAATGCCTTTTTCGAGCAGTTTTCCATCCGCACAGTGGTACGCCCCGGTTTGCTGTGCCATGCGCGTGTTTTTCGCATATCCGGCCTTTGCCCGAGGAATTGTCCCCCATTTTGCTCCTCCTCTTGCCTGTTTCCCTTTCCATTTGATGGCCTTGCGAATGCCCCTCTGACACTCTCGCTTGGACATGGTAAATGTGCTGCGCGTCCGGCTCAGCTCCTTTGTGCCCTGCTCATTGTCGTGGGGACGTACATCACCAACCTGTCCCTGACCCGACTGCAGGCGGTCACCGAATGGCGCAAGACGCCGGGCAATGGCCAAGCCTCATCGACCGGCGGGCGCCGTGGAGGTCGCTTTGCCCGGCGCGGTGGCCCCGCCACTCGGCGTGGCTACTACTCGTCTGAAGAGCGCGACGATGATGAGGGGAGCTCCTCCGAGGAGGAGGAGGACGAAGATTACTCGGCCGGGCGCTCGGGGGCCGGGTCGTCACGCGGGCGCGATTCGTCGGCTCGGCACCGCGGCCGCCGGCCGGACTCGGGCCCCCCTGCCGGCGGGGCAGGGCCGGTGTTGTATGCCCCCCTGGCACCAGGGCCTCTGGCCCCCTACTCGGTGGCCGGAACCCCGATGCACATGGTCCCTCCCATGTATGTGTCATCCCCCTTGCGGCGAGATGCCTTCCCTTCGACATCGCATGGCGCCCATCATCACCCCCACGGTACTGCTGCGCCTGGATCGACCTCAGTACGTTGATTTGTCCGCCGGATTGTGTGTACACGCACACACAGCCGCAACCATGCATGCCGATGGGGAGGATGGTCCTCTGCTAACACTCGCGTGCTCTGACCTGTCCCTTCTCCGGGGGCTGCCTACACGGCCGATCATAGTAGATTTTCCCCGGCACCCGGCCAGCCCCCGCGCCATCGGCCGCATCAGACCGCCCGGCCAGTCCGTTTGGTCGTCCTCTGCTGGGATCAACAGCCGCCGCGACCCCGGCCAATGGCCCTCCGCCAGGCCCCCCTCGCAAGCCATACAATTTTACCCCGCTCACATACCAGCCTCCTGCGCTGGCGGCGGAAGGTAAGGACGCTCCCTCCTCCCCTCAGACCCCCTCTCCAGCAGCCCCTCGGTGATGATGGGCGAGTGCTTCTCGCCTGGCACCGTGCCCATCCCCCTTTGCCCGTCCGGTGGCAAGGGACAAAGCACAAGAATACACACACACACACACCTACACCCAAGTTCCTCTCGTGGAAAGGGAAAAACAAACAGAGTCCGTGCCGAGCAACCCCCTCCTCCCCCTCGCCCGCCCTCTGGGCACGCAACTACATCACATAAAGAGAAAAAGCCGAAAAGCAGGACAAAGGCCTGAAATGGGGAAAAAAAAAACAGCCAGCAAACAGAAGAACGGGAAAGGAAAAGGCAAGCACAAGAGGGGGAGAGAGGAGAACCACCACCACCCTGAGATCATGGAGCCAAGCCAGTACATTAAGGACAGGGGGGACGACACAAAATGTGGGATGGGGAAACCTAACACTAGGGGGGAACTACTACAAGGGGGGCATCATGGGCATATGCTCACGCGGCACAGACACACACACGCACGGAGGCATATATATATGACGGCACCACATGCAGACACAAGCGCAACATCAACCGGAAGAGGAGAGAATGAACAGGGGGGGGGGAGCAGGGAAATGCTCCACCACCGGAATCAAGCCCCCGGACTTCCTGGTGGCCTCTCCCCCCGACACTACCTGCCGGCGCGGGGGGGCCTTTTTTCAAGGTTGAAGAAGGGGGAGAGGTCCAAGTGATGGGGTGCCATTGATCGCGGAGCCCCTCGCGCGCGGATGCGCACGCGCGGACGACGCGAGTGGAACTAAAAGCCCGCGCGCGCGCGCGCGCGCGCACAGCGCAAAGCCATGGCGCGCCGGCGACGAGAAGGCCACTTACATGTCGTAGGGGGTGCGGAGGAGGCGGTTGGGGGAACCGTTGACGTTGGAGATGACACCGTTGGTGGCATCGGCGACGATCTTGTTGAAGAGGGTGGCCGGGGCCATGGAGCCCTCGCGAGAGAGGATGAGAGCGGCAGCACCGGAAACGTGGGGGCAAGCCATGGAGGTACCGGAGATGGTGTTGGTGGCGGTGGAAGAACCGATCCAGGCGGAGGTGATGGAAACACCAGGGGCGAAGATGTCGGTGCAAGAGCCGTAGTTGGAGAAGGAGGCGCGCCAGTCGCTGCGGTCGGAGGCGTTGACGGTGAAGGCGAAGGGAGAGCGAGCCGGGGAGTAGTTGCAGGCATCGGCGTTGGAGTTACCGGAGGCAACAATGACGGCGAGACCCTGCTTGGTGGCGGCCTCGACGGCGTCGTCGATGACCAGGGAGGCACCACCACCGAGGGACATGGAGGCGACGGAGCGCTTGTGGGCGCTGGCGGCGTGCTGCTGGGCGGACCAGGAGACACCGGCGGCGACGTTGGACAGGGAGCCGGAGCCGAGGGCGCCGAGGACCTTGACACCAATCAGGTTGGCCTTCTTGGCAACACCCCAGGTGGTACCACCTATCGGAAGCGCGGAGGGGCGGGGGAGACAAGCAGATGCATGGTGAGAACAGGGAAAAAGCAAGCGTAGGGAGAGGGGGAAAGAGGGGGAAAGAGGGAGAAAGAGAGGGAAAGAGAGGGAAAGAGAGGGAAAGAGAGGGAAAGAGAGGGAAAGAGAGAAGACGCCAGGCCGGAGAGGGGAGGGGGAGAGGGGCGGGCGACAAGCGGGATAAGGAGGAGGAGGAGGAGGAGGGGGAGGCACGCACCGATGGTACCGGCACAGTGAGTACCGTGACCGTTGTCATCGTTGGCGTTGGGGGTGCCGCTGTGGAAGTTGTAGCCGGAGGAGGAGCGGCCACCGAAGTCGGTGTGGCCGTTGTTGATACCGGTGTCGACGACGTAGACGTCGACGCCAGCACCGGCGGTGGTGTGGTAGTTGTACTTGGAGTCCAGGGGCAGGTTGGTCTGGTCGACACGGTCAATACCCCAGGTGGCGTTGGGCTGGGTGGTGAAGGCATCAGCGCGGACGATGGAGTCCTGCTCGACGTAGTCGACGATGTCGGTGCGGGCGCGGATCTGCTCGAGGGCCTCCTCGTCGAGGTAGGCGGCGAGGGCCTTGAAGCGGCGGCCGATGTTCATGAAGCGCATGGAAGCGTCCTTCTCCAGACCCATGGAGCGAGAGAAGAAGCGGGCCTCGGCGACGGAGACATCGGGGCGGAAGACGACGATGTACTGGTTGGGGATCAGCTCGTCGGCATCGGCGACCAGGGGGGCGTAGCCGTTGCGGGCGTTGGCCAGGGGGGCAGCCGAGGCGACGGCGGCCATCATGAGGGTGGCGAAAGCGGCGAGGACGAGGGCACGCATGGTTGCTAGATGAATTGTCTGGGTGTGGACGGGGGCGGGGCGGGGCGGGGCGGGGAGGCGGACGGGTAAGTACAAAGCGAAGAGGCGAGGCGAAGGAGGGGGGGGCGGAGACAGGGAGAGAGGGGAGGGAGGAAAGCGCACAACTTGTTTGGGTCAAAGGAAAACACAAAAAAGTACGGTAGCCAGCTGTGGAGGTCCTTCGGCGCGGTGCACACTGCCTTTTAGAGGGGGCGGAAGCGTGGCTTGGGGTGGGGCTTTCCTGCCCCCCGGCCCCCCCCCCCCCCCCCCCCCTGCACATACACGCAAACACAGCGAGATACTGGCAGACACACATCCCTCGCGCACCTTGATGTGCTCTCGACGAGGCCAGTCATCGCCCAGGACTCGGAGGCTCACGCCACGACCACGCAGCCAGGGATGAAAGCCGCTGCAATCACCATCAGACTCACGCGGTGGCCAACACGGACCCGGCCCGCAGGCGGGCAGACGAAAGGGGCGCGCCGGCACATGCACTCCGAGGAAGGGGGGGCCTCGCCCCCCGCCCCCTAGCAGCGGGACTGGAAGACCATGCGCGCGGGCCAGGGCGAGGCTCAGACAAGATAACCGGCTCGGACACTTGGAAACACAATAACCCGGGGGACCCAGACTACACCGGGGACCTGCATGCCGCCCGGGCTTCTTGGGTCCGGGAGGACGAAATGGACCAGAGGGGAAAAAGCAGCCCCACGCCTGGACGCCGCCCCCGTTCCCGCCCCCCCCCCCCCGGGGGGGGGTGGGCACAATATGTACACAGCCCCAGCGGGCAGGTGCGACTTGCGTTCCGCCGGGGGCGTGCTTCCCAGGCGACTCTGAAACAGGGCCGACAACGGCGGGCCGCCCCCCCGGCCGGCAAAAGAAAAACAAACACCTCAGAAGAGTATGCGACCCCCCTGAGCGGGTATGCACTTGCACGCATGTGTGCACCACACAAGGGCCCTTCTAACCGGCGTGGCCGAGGGGGACAACAGGGACTGACACAGGAGTGACCACTGCCAGACACTTGACCGGCTGGCGAGCCGGCGGAAGAGGCCGGGAGCTGCGCTCCGGAGGCCCTTGCCGCTGGCCCGGGCCAAGGGAGAAGGGCACTCCACGGTCGTTGGCGCAACGGCCGCCCAACTCGCAGCGGGGGGGGGGGGGAGTCCGGGCGCGGGCCAGGGCGTACGTAATCCGCCCCTCCAACTACGGACCAAATAATGTGAAACTTCTCGGGCGAGCGAACGTCGAAAACGGGAATGTAATGAAGCCTCGCCCGGAGGACGGCCTCTCAATTAGGCGCGTCCATCCAGGCAAGTGCTCTGAATAAAGAAGAGAGGCCGGGACCACCCCGGCGGGGCCGGCGGCCGGGGGGAGGGGGGGGGGAGGGGGCGGTGGCGCTAACAGGGGCCGCCGACCCGGGTGAAATGCTTGGTGGCAGGGCGCGGGCGTGCCCGGGGGGGGGGGGGGCCGGGGCGCCTGGTATTATGGTTTCGTGGACCCCGCCAGAGATGCGGGTGTGCTCCCAAACGAGCCCGTTAAGAATGCACGGGTATCGGATCAGTGGACCGCGGGCGCAGGCTGGACGGGCGGACGGACGGACGGACGGACGGACGAATCCCCGACTGAGTCCGCCCCGCGCCGCCCCCTGGCGGCTGCTTTCACACCTCCGGGCGTCACAGCACCACGCCGAGGGCCGAGGGCACACGCGAAAGCATGGGACTAGAATGCTCGTTTGTTCCGGCCAAGGGGGCGGGAGGGCGGGGGGGCAAAGGTGTCACCAAAAACTCTATATTTGCCCCATTATTATTGAGCGCTTCGGGGCCGAACTTGCTTGCCGCCTGCCGCCTGCCGCGAGACGGTCACTTCCTTGCAACCGGGGGCATGGGGAAGCCCGGGCCTTGGCAAGGGGCAGGCCCCGCTTCTCCCGAGCAAGGGGCGAGTCAGTGTGTTGGCCGCAACATGGCCTGGCGCGCCAGCGCGGATACCCCGAGTTTTTTTTTTCGGCAGCTCGTGTGACCGCCCTCTCGCCCCCCCCCCCCCGGGTCCGGCAGGGGCTGGAGGGCCGTCCCAGGAGGGCGGGAGGGGGGGGGGCAAGCAAGGGAGATACCACCAGGATGCTTACCGGCCTTCCCGTGCGGAGAGGCTCTCTCCTCACCAAGGCAACTCCCGCGAGAAAGGGGCAGGGACCAAGGAATACCCCCCACCTGACTGCCGCCCGGGTCGCGGCTCGGCTCCCCCGCAGCCCCATGGGTTGCCCGCTGGGCCGAGGCCGAGTCCAGGGCACCGGCCGTCCCCGAGTCCGGGCCCTGTTGCAAGCGGCTTTTGCTCCCTCCACCCTCGCCCCCCCCCCCCCCC